AAACCGAAGCAAGGATGAAATAAGTATTTCTCTAGACTATTATCCATTATATTGACTGTTGTCATTGGGTACTTATTTTCCCTTCTGCCTTGCTCAGGGTTCTCCAGAACTGGTAGAAGGAATGCATGTTATTCTCTTGGCATACGGAGGTGGGCTGGATAGTCCACTTGTGGCTGTCTTCACACTAGTCTCTGAGAACCAGCAGCTGCTCAGCCTGTGAGCTGGGTGAGATCCTCCTGGTCCTAGCCTGGCACCAATGGTGTGGAGGGTTCCTGGAGAGCTGCTGATCTTTGCTCCATGGTGGAAGGCCAAAGGAGCTGGATGCCAGTGTCAGCAAAGGGAAGCAGCAACAGTGGCAGAAATCGGGTTATACTCTCACCAACAGGAAGTGAAGGTGAACAGACAAAAGCAGCGCTGCTGTTCCCTCAGACTTCTTTATTTCCACACCCTATGGTTCCCTGCCCCCCCCCCCAGTTCATCCTTCCAGGAAATACCCTCACAGACCTGCCTGGAGGCAAGTCTTAGTTGATACCAGATCCAATCAAGTTGACAAACCAGGATTAACTCATACTCTCTGTTGTCTCTTCATCCTTGCAATCGACAAACCTGTGAATAAAATCTTTGGATTTATTTCCATTCAGCACTGGACTAAATCCTTTAATCTACTCACTCATAAGTATATAGCCAAAGAACCATGTTCATCTAAGAACTGTACATAGTATCCACAGAGCATTATCTTATTAGCCAAAGAGTAGAAATACCAAATGTCTGTCAACCAATAAATGGATAAACAAAATATAGTATAGCTGTGCAGTAGAGTATTTTGGCCATAGTAAAATATGAAGTACTGATACATACTACAGTCTAAACCTTGAAAACACACCAAGGAAAGCTAGGCACAGAACACTATATGTTATGTGAACTCATTATTAGATGTTAACATGGACGAATTCATGGAGACAGATCAGAAGTGATGATGTGCCTGGGAGGGGTTATGGGGAGGCTGCTGGTTGGTATGAGGTTACTTTTTGAGTAATAGATATATTCTAAATTTAGGAGTGATAGTTGTACAACTCTGTAAACTAACAAAAATGAATGAACTATATTTTGAAAGGATAACAATTTTTTGAGTTTCATGTATCCCAGGCTGTTCTGGAAACTGTGTAACTGAGAATTTATGATTTTCCTGCCTTTGTCTCTTGAGAGTTGGGATTACAGGCATGCACCATCACGCCTGCTTTATGCAGTGCTGTGGATGGGCCCCCTGCACGTTGGGCAAGCACTCTACCAACTGAGCCACATCCCCAGCTCAGAAGCAACATTTTAAAACTTTATTTTTAAATTAATTATCCTAAACGTAAGAATCAATCCTCTCTAACAGTGTTCATGGAATGTAAACTGTACTCCAGCCTCTATCATAGTAAGTTATTATTAAATATATATGTCTCGTGTGCTCAATTTTAAAGGCAAATGGTTTTAGTTGGCCCTTTGAGAGAAGGAGGATTTTCTAGGATCTGGAGAAGCTGGAGACATGCAGATTGGAGGTGGGGATTCTTGGGTACTGACTCCATTTTCCCTGGGTTCTGCATGGCTTTGTTGGCAAGTCCTTTTCCTGGATGATAATGGTTGTGAACACTCGTTGTAACAGACACAGATAGATTGTAAGCACAACTCTTCTAAATGGCGATGCAAAGATGAGAACAATTAGATGGTGCCTTTCTTTAATCTGTACAGAGTTTGGTGTCATCAGTTTACCCTGTGGAGGGGGAACTGCACACCATCAGGCTGCCTCCAGCCCTGCTCTGTAAGACTATCTTATTCCCATGAAGTTCTCCTTGTTAGGAGTATAATGGGGCATGTGATATTCTCCAGTTAGTCTACAAAACCAATGAAGTTACACCTCTAAAATATGTAGAAAGAAAAGTGTTAATAATTGTGACAGCCCATGTTAATATTTGCCATCCTAGTATAATGTACACAATAAATGTCTTAATCAGCTACAATTGTGTTGTGTTCTAGACCTTAGGTGTTGGCAGTTCAAAAAAGAACACGAGGTGCTGTTTCTAGTGTGCTTACAAGCTACTTGGGATAGTAATTCACATCCTTCAAGAGTGTGTCCAAATGCTCAGGGCCTCACAAACCCCCTGGTGCAGGATGTCTGCTTCCTTCACCCACCCCAACCTGCCTGGTCCCCTCTCCCCACTCAGTTTTTCCATACGCTCATTTCTTAACATACTGTTTAGTTTATCTGTTTGTTTTCCTTTCTCCACAAAAGCAGAGTTTTGTCCACTTTAATTTCTGACTCCTAGTACAAGAGCAGTACCTGAAGATAATGGTGTTTAACACTGTTTCTTGAATGGACATGTGATTAGAAATGAAGTAGTACATGTATACAGAAGCAGGATTGCAAGGTCTCCAGGATACAATGGAAGAGAGAAAATAAGAGATGCTGATTCCACTACTGGAGAGGCGCAGAGCTGAACAAAAACAGAGGTTTATTTTTGTTGCTGTTATAATGAAGAAAACACAGAGAATTGTGGAAAGGGAGACTCAAAAATATGTGATTGTCAAGGAATGGCTATTTGTGCTTTAGTTAGCATTTAAATTTATTAAAACTGATTCTCAAG